ATCTCTTCAGCAGCAACTCCATTCCTGTGAACGCGGCTCACAGTGAAGTGACGTGTGCTTTTAGCATCCTGGCTAGTCAGTTGCTCAGATCACCATCAAGCAGCCCCAGCCCTGTTCAATGTGTGGTCTACATCATTCCTGGGCTTGGATTTTAGGGAGCGGGGGGCGGGGGGGATTCTACTATAGCATTTGAATCAGAAGTATTTAGCAAGTATGGCGTGAATGCCCAGACACCCCCAAGCAACAGTTACCGAAATCAAGAGAGGAGAAAGGTCTTCAGCGGAAGACAGGAAAATAAAGTTATTTTAAATGCATCCAGATCCGGTGTACAACTTGGAGACCCCTCGCTTGTTTTTTCTTTCCTCGCTCTCTTACTGGAAATATTGATTTGTTATTTACACAGAAGAGGGAAACGAAGATGATTTTTTGTTTCGCTGTAGATAAATTGTTTTGAAAAAAATTTTAATCAAATGCTGTAGCAGAAGAGAAGCCCATCAAACTCTGAAATGCTATGCTTCTCATTAGCAACAGTCCCTGGTTTTCATTTTCATCCTGCCATTTTGGGTTCATATTCAATAATAGAATCTGACACATTTATAGGGAAGGAAAGTTCTTATATATATACCATCTTGAAGGACAAGAGGAGGGAGGGTGGGGGTGGGATGGTTTTGAAACGGTTTTGTCAGAGGTATGCCCGTCATAATGGGTGATTTAAACCTCCTACTTGGTAAGGGTTCAGGACGAGACAGCTTAAACCAGTGCTTCTCAGGGACTGTTTGCAACTGTTTCTGCTGGCTCCTCTGGAGACCATGCATTGTTCTAAAATCTCATATTGTTAGCATGCAGGAACAAGCTGAAACTGGTCATCAAGCAGCAGAAAACCATTTGCTATAAGAAGATTAAACGTTAATTATAAGCAGTCACATTCCAAAGCAGCAAATGCATAAAAAGGAAAACATGCTATTACTCGTCATTGCTTCCCAGTCATCGCTTTCGCACTCACTCCAAATACAAAATAGAAATCTCAGGAGACAAACAAGCACCACACACACACATACAAAAAATAAAATAAAATAAATCAGCAAGAATGATCAATGAGAGGCTCAAAGACAAGACAGAAACAGTTAAAAAAGATAGAGCCCCAGACGCTGACAAGCCTTTGCCAGTGACAATGTCTAGACCCAGGGGCCCCGCCTGCAAGGGTGGCCCTTTTGTTCTGCTCTGGAAGACCTGCCTGTGTGGACCCCCTGTTAGGTGTCTTCACCTATGCACTTCCAGGTCCACTTTCTTTAAAGGTGAGGCCCATCTGGTGGAGCCGTCCGAGGCTCGCAGGGTGTCCCAGTGGCAGAGCCTTCCTCTGGAACCTTCTAGGCTCCTGAACAAGCTCTTGAACTAAAAACAGATGAGGGTATGACTCCCTGGTGGTAGCTGTTCCAGGAGATGTGGACACTCTGGGCATAAAGTTAGACTCTTCAGTTGTAAAATAAAATTACATCAAAATTAAGTCATGGATCTCCTAATTTGAAAAATATTACCCCTTGTCACCCTCAACTATCTCCTCTCTCTCTCTCTCTCTCTCTCTCTCTCTCTTCCTAATCCTTTGGTTTTATTTTAGAGAATTGTGGATTTTCAGAATCACTGGTATTTCATTTCCATTTCTCTGGGATGTTTCCTTTTCTAGAGCTGATGCAGGTTATAAGGTTAATTTCAGATAACAGAGTGCCATTTAAAATTCCCAAGCTTAGGTTTCAAAGAGCAACTTTGAAAGTTTCAGTATTTATTTAAAACAGAAGTAAATTTCATATCTACTCCCTGGCCACGAAAAGTGCCCTCTCTCCTTTGGTGTTTGCTTATTTTCTTTATTATGTAGTCACCCAGTGCTCTTTCCTAAATCCCAGTCCTCAAAAGAGGGGGTTTTCCCCAGGATTTCAATGGTAATACAAAGTAGAGCTCTGAGGACATCTAGTGGACATGTGTGGAAGGGCAGCCAGTTAACTTTCTCCCCAACTAGCTGGCCCTTCTCTGCAAGGGAGCAGAAAGAGGGCCCTGCAGGCCTCTAAGAACTGAAATGTGAGCAGTGGCATTTAATTCGGCAGCTTCTCCCAAGAGATGTTCAGGAGGCAGCAGGGTCAAAGGGCTGAGAGGGGCTAGGAGATGGTCCTAGAGTGGTCAAAAGTGGCACATTGCCCCCTGCAGCCATGGGCCACTGCAGCCCCGGGTAGCTGGCTGGGTCTCCTCAAAGCCCCGAGGCAGCTTCCTGAGTCGGGGAGAGACAAGAGCGCATCTGGTGGGTGTGTAACACTGCAGCTTTTGTCGTTCCATCTTGGGGCTCTGGGAACTTTATGCTCAATGAACCGCCCCCGTAGGCCAGCTGAGCTATGGGAGAGCAGAAATATCAGCCCCTGGGGACCTGCTTTTCTCCTTGGCCCACATCAGAAGGTTCCTGTTCTTGGGCTGGTGCCACAGGTTCAGAGAGGTTATGTGGTTGCCAAGAAATAGGCCCCGGGTCTCACCTCCCTCCTAAGAACTCCGTCCTCACGGTTTTGTGGTTGGAGAGGAAAAAGCTTTTATGTGCTTTCCTCCACCACAAGGAAGTGAATTGTCTTCCAATATTTCCATTATGACTTCCTCACGCTATTTATAGAGACAACATAGAAGTATGTCCCTAATGGACACCATCAAAGGTTTACTCCCTCCTCGGGTATAAAACTGGAAGATTTCTCAGAGGTACTCTTGGCCAACTTTTCCTGTATCCTCAAAGGTCGTGATCGTGAGGAAGGACGCCTGTGGAGACGTGGCTGCTGTAGACGGGCTTTAGTTACTGCTCTTTCCTTGCATCAAACTGACAATGAGCTGTCAAACCCACGTTCTCTGCTTGCTCGCCCTTCCCAGCCAAGCCTGGCATAGAAGAGGGACATGGAAGCCATCCTGTTCTCAGCACCATCTGCCTCCTGCATCCGCAACCAAATTGTCAGCCAACTTCCAATTGCACATCCTTAATTTCCAGGGTGGGCTGGAAGGGGCAGGAGAAGCAGTGCTGGGCTGAGAGGCTCCGATGGAGTTTTCCAACTCCTGGGGGCGGGGGGGAGGGAGTTTAGGTTTTAAATGGAGCAATTCAGGGGGAAACTGTGGCAGGAAAAAACAAATCTGCCATTCAATTCATAGACACTTGTCAGATCACACCCTCATGTTTAAAATCAATCCAATGCAGGGAGGATTACTTCCAAGCCTCCACCCTGGAGCTGCTCCTCATATGCTCGTAGCAACTAAAATTACAGGGAAAAACATCCAGGGAAGAAGACGTTCACTGAGGTGTAAGGCAGAGGCATTTGCTTGACGTGACACTGGGAATCAGAGGGCATTCTTTCAAGTCCTATAAATGAGCAAAATTCCTCCTATTAGCTTCTGGAGGGAGAAGAAAGGTCTTTCAGGTGGTTTTTCCCCAAAATGAAAGAGAGGGAAGGGAAAGCTGGTTAATGTCAGCAGCTCAGAGCCCTTCGAGCTGGTCCATCCGGCCCTCTCAACACCACATTGTGGCAGAAGAAGGCAGAGGAATTTGGCACTAGAGTTGTTTGTTGATTGACATCAAGACTCCCCGAGGATTTTGAAGGATCACTAGATTCTGTCAGCGCTCTGCGGATATAAAAATGGCCCTCAAGCCACCCTTGGAGGCATTCTGCAGGTAAAGGGAGCCCCGCACAAGTCGCTTCTGGCAGAATTGGGCGTGGGACTGAGGAAGGTCACTGCTCGCTTTCGTTTGTACCCTGAGCATTCTACACCTTCAGAGTCTGAAGATGAGCCCAAACCAGACGGCCAACCTGCTCTTGCTGCAAAGGAGTCGGAGAGGACCAGGTGCTGAGCTGTCTTCTCCACATCCCAGGGCCGCTGGCCTGAACGGGCTGCAGGCTGCCCCTCGACTTCAGTGGTCTCACGGACACGAGGGAAACCCCACGCTCATTTCTGGTGCACGGAGAACGGCATTGCTCTAAGCCACATGGAGACGCTGGCCCTGAAAGGCGCAGCCTCTGGGTGGGAGGGGCCCTACTCCTTCAGTGAGTTAGGGGGCTCGGGGCCTCACATCCACGGCTCAGACTTCTGCATAGCTCATGGGTGAAACGGAGCATTCTCCTTGAGCCACCTTTTCTGCCTTCAACAAGTAGATGTCTGCTAAACCAGTAAACATCTCCCAAGATGCCTGACTAACACCCACAGAGGAACTGGGGATGTCCTAGTGGGTCCTGATTGAAGGAGGAACTTGAATTTAAAACAAGGGAACTTCATAGATTGTCAGAAATAATTACCACTGCAGAAATACTTGTCTCCATTAAGGCCGTTTAGATACTTACAAAGCCGGGGTGTCCAATTAACTCTCTAGCCCGCACTTTCTCATATAGAGAGGCACATATATTGTAATAAATACATCACTCTCTCTATAAAGTAGCTCCACACTTATATATAAAAATGTACATTTTTTTACATATAAAGTACTGGTACATATATATATATATATCACAACACAGGAGTAAGTATATATGTAGTATATGTGTTTGCTTCAGGATAGGAATTTGAGCTCCAGAGTCGAGGAGACCAAGTGTAATTTATCAAAGGCAAGTGTGACCATGATCCCCAATCGATGAGGTGTCTGGAGCTACAGTGGTAATTACCCCAGCCTACTCAGTGTCCCCTCAAGGTCCTGAGACAGGCTTTCATGAGAAACACTGTTGTCAAGGTCTTATTTTCAAATAGAAAAATAAGACAGTGCCAGAGGCTGGCTAGAAGCTTGGGGTGGGGGGCGGACAGAGGGTGTCCTGCTCTCAGGTTCTCCAGCTCCAGGCTGCTCGCAGACTGTAGGGTGAGGGAGTTGGGGCATGGTTCACTGCTACATGCAACATAAATACCACAAGGAATAAAGAGACTGAAACTGTACAGAAAATAAGAGTCTCTTCTAGAGAAAGACAGGGGGACTAGACTCCGGGCTGCTGGGAACCCGTGTTACTCACAATAGATCACTACCAGTGTGCGGTTAAAATAGAGTAGGGGCCGTATTCCAAGGCAGCAAAGAGAAAAATAAATCAAAAATATGTCAATGATTAGAAGTTCAATAAAATTCCTTCAAACACATCAATTTAGACATGACTTGTCCCCGAGGAGTCTACCCTTTGGCCAACTTTTAGAGGCTGAGGGAGAAAATATCAATCATTAGACCAGGTTGGTTATACAGAAAAAGAAAATGGGTAAATGGATTCTGAGAGCTTGCTCCTTGGCCAGACACCGAATGTGGCCCTCTTCCTTGATGGAGAGCTATGAAGAAATGGAAAGAAATGCAAGAATTAAACTGTACTCCCACAGAATTGCCGGCATGGAATGGCCACACTCGGTATTTCTCCAGAGTGTATGACATGAAACGTTCAACATTATTGAACAAAAGTGAACAGGGGGTGGAGGTGGGGAGGACAGGGAAGAGCAGGGTTGGGAGAGGAGGGTTGGGAAGCTGTGAATGAGGACCAGTGACTGTCACCAGCTCTGCCCTTACATTGTGGAGATGTATCACTCAGAATGGATTATTAACACCTGGCCTAACAGATTTGGACAAATGACTCTGTGGGTTGGCTGCCCTCTCCAACTTAAGGCATCAGGCGATGTGCATTCAATTCATTACTGACAATTCCAGCTCCTTCTAAGGAAAGTTTCTTTGCAACCAAAACCTAGCTCCCCCCATTTCCTGACCTGCCAGGTATGCCTCATTTTTAATAGCTCATTTATTCTAACTACCATTTACACCTACACACCTGCATCCTGCCCTCTGGAACACAGGCTGCTGTGGCCTTTTAATTGGGAAGAACAATATTTGGGAAATTCTGATTGTTATCAAACATGAACCTCACAGCTGAAGGCTGCCATGAGAGGAGGAGCCCACGTGGGGAGGAGGGTGCAGAGCGAAGGGAGTGAGACCCCGGCCACACTGGCTTGGCATTGGAGAGGCAGTCCTTCTGTGGTAATCTGTGCTGTGCATGATGGGAGCTCACAGGCTCTAGCTGAGCCATTGTGAATGGAAATGAAGAGAATAAAATGATTTCAAACAATTATGCGCCTCTCTGTCCAGGATGATATTAAAGGCCGCTGCTGTTTACTTGCCTAGAACCAAGATGGGAAAATGTCCTAGAGGCCAAATCCTCATTTCCAGGGACTTAAAATTCTTCTGCTGGGTCCCACTACAGTCCATCTGCGGAAGAGCTCAGCGGGAGTCGAACCGCTTTCTCTCATCTCTCTGTTCCACTCCTGCCCCGGACTCTGCTCTCTGTCCAGTCACCAGGGAGATCAACAGGAACTGATGATGTCATTTCCTTGCTTAAAAACGGCTCTATTTATTGTAGGACTAAAGCCCAATTTTCTTACCATGGCACCTGCCTTCCTCTCTGATCTCATCTCGCACCCCTCTCTCCAATTCCACCAGCTCCCCTGCCGGTCTTCCTTCCCTCAGACACCACAAACTGACTTCTACTTCTGGCCTTTGTCCCCTTATTCTGCCTCCCTGGACTGGGCCTCAGGGTCAGGGCCACCTCCCAAGGGAGGTCTTCCAGATCTTTCTAGCTGAAGCAACATCTCTGCAGGGTTCCTCACACCCTCAGGTGGTCTTTAATTTCTTCACAGCCCCTGTCTCTGCCTGAATAGATTTCATTGTTTCTATGACCACTGTTCTACAATCATTCACTAGAGTGAAGGGGCTCTATCTTGTTCCTCACTCCATCCCTAGCATCAAGAATAGCGCCTTGCACAAACAAGGTACTGAAACTATGAGTGAGGAATCAATAGTGCGTTTCTCTGATGCCCCATGGACCAGGTTCTCTGTGAATGATTGGCCTCAGGCTCTCCTGCATCTCCCATCTCACGCCACCGCGAGACTCTCTTACCAAGGGTTCAGCCTCTTGCACTTGTTACTGTCTTACTTCCCCCTCCGACGGAGAGTTGCTTCTGATGGAAATGATCTGGGAGAGGCCTGGTCAGCTGGGCTGTGCTTTGAGTTCACAGCCAGTGAGGCAGGGCTGGGTGGACCTCCTGCTGAGAAGGGCCTTTTGATTCATGGACTGGGTTTGCTCTGTGTCCTAGCGCCCTTAGACACTCTTCCGGATTGGTTGTCAGAACAGAAGAATTCTCAGGCCCCAAGAAGTCAGAGGCTCTTGTTCTGAGATTTCCATAAATACTGATCTTAGTGGGTATCAGAGTTGAGAGGAGGGGGCTCTGTGTGTTAAGTCAATGAAGAAGGGGGAGCAAACTGTGGGCCCAGCTGCCCCAGGCTCAGGAAGCAGCCTGAGCAGATTTCTACAGACACCGCTCCAGACCGAGAGTACGTGGGGATCGGCCCGAGGCTGTGTGCCTCTCCGAGCCCTAGCAGAGGCACCGACCTCTCCCTGGTTTGGCATTTACTATGCCCCTCCCCAAGGGGTGCAGTAATAAACCCCGTGTCTGCCAGTCGATATATCCCAGGAATGGGGGTCTCTGCTTGGCTCCTGCTCTGAAAAAGTGTTTCATGGGACGATCCTTTGTAACTGCACTCCTACTCATCAGACCCCGTCACCCACTTCGCCTTGTCTCCTAACCAAAAGGTTGCACACAGCACCGAGAGAGGCCTCGGGCAGGCCCGAACCTGTCTGCTGGGTCTATGTCACTCTCAGCAACCTCATCCTGTCAGTGACCTCGAAGCTTTAATTTCTTCTTTTTGTAAAACGGGATTAATAACACCCCCTGCCAATTATGCAGGGTGATGGTGAGGATCAAAGCAAATGAGGAGCCTAAGGCGCTTTGAAAAGACTGCACATAGGAAGGCAGGCATCATCATCACCGTTTCCTCTGGGGTTGTGAGAGATCTCTATTAGGCAAGGCAACGTGATCACTGCCAACGGCATGGCCTTCTCCAGGCAAAGCCCACTCCAAGCCTGCTGTCACGACCCACATCCCTGAGTTCCTCTCAAGAGGCCCTATTGGCATGCTGCTTCAGAAGGGGTTTGGGGTAGCCTGTGCCAGAAGCCAATGGGCCCAGTCTCGTCGACCCTGAAGAACACTGGTGTCTGACCTTGGTCCCTGGTTCAATGACAAAATCCACTGGCCATGGCCAAGGTCTTTCCTTGGGCCACTCTGAAGGTACTGCAGTTGGAAGCTCTGGCCTTTGGCACCGAAACCTGCAGCCATCCAATGGGAAGGGTCAGCCCCATTCGGGAGACCGAGTCCTCACCTCGGTTCCCCTCTCTGCCCTAGTCCAGCCGTCTGTACCCGGGGCATTCCCAGACCCACTGGGAATCACGGTGCAGAAACGCCCTCCTCCACGGCCTTAGCTGCCCTCCTCTCCGTACACCATACTCACTGTGCTCGCCCGGACACCCACCGAGGCGTCCTGTTAGAGACGGAGTGAGACAGGGCACTAGGTCTACGCCTAGGTGTTGGCGGTGGTGAACTTTCAACCTCTGCTCTACTAAAGCGAGGACAGGTATTTATTTCATGTCTCTTTAAACTGCTGGGTGAAACATAAACATGTTCAAGAAAGCTCTTGATGTTTAGTGTTTCTTTAATAGGAAAAGGAGAAGGGAAATGAATTCGGGAAAAGGAAGGAGAGAGGGAGGGATGGGGGAAAGAAACGCTACTTACGCCGTTTGCAGCCGCATTTTTTTATTCTTTTGGGATCTGTGATGTCATCATGACAGGCCTTGCAGTAAAAAAATGCCCTGGAGAAAGAGAATGGAAAAACTGACATGTTTCATAATCCGCTCCAATGAAATGAGCACCACATTTCCTCCTCCGTGGTGCCAAATTAATGAAACACGCCGGCCCCCACTGCCTTTCATCTTTTCAAAGGTTTAGACGTTTACAGACGGAAATGTTTGCCGCAAGACCATTTATTTCAAACACAGGTCTCTGTGATTTGAGTTAGTGCTTCTTTTAATAAACTTTCATTTGAAAAGGAACTGGGGGAAAGGTTGCTGATGTGACCGTGAGTCGGCTCGCCCGTCTTTCATTTCGGAGCGCAGCCTTCGGGGCTGCTCCTCAGAAGCCGGGGCGAGCAGCCCTGGGCCTCGGTGGGGAAGTGAAGTCCATCTCGGAAACCCTCCGTCCGGTGAACTGTATATTAAAGGGGCACAAGGACAATGTTCCTCGGTCAAATGCAAATGTCCGCCTTGTCACTCAGACAGCGGCCTTTCATTTCAGGAGATGAGAAAGGGACAATCAAAAGTGATGGATCGAGGGGCTCCTGTCCATTTCCTTCCGGGACCTCCTCACCCATATGTACTGCAAAGTTGGCTGGACCAACTCCCGTAGTCTCCAGCCTTGAGATCATATAATAAATGAAGGCTTTCTTCTCACTGTGGAGCCCAGCTCAGCTGACCACTGGAATGGGGTGGGCGGAGGGTGCATAGGGTTGGGGTGAGTAGAAGGAGGCCCAGCGAAAGCAATCAGTCAATGGGAATGTCCTCTCATCTGACTTAAGTGTCAATATGTGATGATAAAGTGCACCGGCCATGTCCAAGTTAATTTGGATGAGGCAGAATAAAGCCAGGCGCTATTTAAATGCTCCACGTCTAGAAAAACAGCCCCGGCCGGAGGCCTGTGTCCTCTCAGCACTGGGAGGTGCTAAAATTCATTGGAACAACTTCACAACCTTCTGAGTCCAGGGACTAACAAAACCCCTGGCCCAGCACCTTCACCACTCCCACCACGGAGGTGCATGCCAGGGGGAAACACGGTCGTTCCTTGACCAGGGCTATAAAGAAATAAACACAGTTCTTCACTACCTTATTCCCGGGTTCCTTTTCATGTTTTTCCCAGGACTGGCATATTTGGAAACCACTGCTAAGACTTTTGATCTGGAAGAGATCTCACATCTTGCAGCCCAAATCCCTGCGTCTCCATGTCCTCATTGATAAATGGAGGAGGTGGCATAACTGCCTAAAGTCATCCTGTACTGCTACCTGGCCAGCCCAAGCCTTCTAGATTCAAGCCCCATGCTCCTTCCGCCCTAATAGCTCATCCACTATTTCCTTAAATGCCAGGTTTTGTCTATTTTACAAAAAAATAAAAGGAAGCTGATTGTTTGTCCTCAATGGCTAAAAACCCAATCAATGATGACCTGCTTCGAAAGGGGAAGTGTAGGACAGGAGGAAGCAATTGTGCTTCCACGTCCTTTGCCCATTTTCTCCCCCCATTTGATGTTCCTACTCATATTAATAATGATAGTTAACATTTATAGAGCACAGACTTTAGGCCAGGTGCTGTTCTAAGCATTTAATACGCATTAATGCATTTTATACTCAAACAATCCTTTGAAGGAGGTGTGATTATTATCTCTATTTTACAGACAAGAAAACTGTAGAACAGAGACGTTAAGCCACCTGCCCAAGGTCACACAGCTGAGTGGCAGAACCAGGATTCAAAGCCACACAGTCTATTCCCAGTGTCCAAGGTCTTAAACACATCTCTAATAAAGAGATGATGAGGCGATGAGGAGCCTGAATAGACCTTTGAAATAGAATGCTCACCTGCCACAGCCCCCACCTTACTGCACACCTGCACTGAGCAGCCGAGTGTTGCTGGGGAAACAACCTTGCTGACTGATCTCGCTTTAAATCCCTGGGTGTGGATTCCAGGAGCCTTTGTACACTCCTCAGGATCTATGCCCTCAACCCTCTCTGCTCTCCTCTCCATGCCCTCTCCTGCTCACCTTCCCCTCCCCTAGTAGCCTTAGCTGGGAGCCTTGCCACTGACATCACCAAGACCAGGTCTGCATCCTGCAAGGCTTGTGTTTAGGGTCCCCTTGCCCTCTGGTTTCTCACTTTGCTTGTCTAATGGGGGAGCCAGCAGGAGCCTGAAGGGTGAGAAGAGTCATGCTCCTCGCTACCAGCTTATAAAATGGTAGTAGCACCATCTCCCTACAGAAGAACACAGCTCCTGCGAGGCAGCCTTTCCTACAGCACACCCTCTGCTCGTTCTAACAGCCCTCCTTCCCCTTGACTAGGGCTGGGAATGGCTCCCCATTGCTACTAACGCTGGGTACTTTGCCATTCCTTGTGGGTTTTCCTAACTCTGCCCACAACTTTATACATTCCCCTTTTTCCACTTAAGTGTGTCATCTGTTTCTTGCCAGGACCCTCACTGATACAGCATCTAAATTTACAAATCCAGTCCTCCTCTTTACCCAGCACTCAGAATCTTAGATGCAACTGCCCTTATGCCATCTCTATATACCCTACTTCACACAGCCCAATAAGTATTCTTCAGTTCCTTCCACCCGCAACTTGCTCCTCCTCCCATTTTCCCATCATCTACCCAACTGTGGAGGGCTGGACTCTAGGCTCTATTCTTTGTCCTTCTTGTTTCCTCACTTTCCACAGTTCATGAGTGAGTCCTACAAAGTTTCCAAAATATATCCTGAGCTGGTCTTACTTCTCACCACCTCCACTCACCAGTCTAGCCCAGGCCATCACCTCTCACCTAATCTACCCCGTAGCCTCTGAGTCTCCTGGCTTCCCCTCCTGCTCCACTGCATCTGACTCTCCCAGAGCACGTGCAAAGGCCTCTTAGTAATATAACTCAGACTGCATCATTGCCAGCAAAAACCCTCCCATGACTCCATTTGATAACAAATTCAACCTAGCCCTACCGTTCTTTCTAACTTCACCGCGCCAGCCTACACCCCAGACACCCTCTTTTTCCTTCAGTTCCCTGAACACAACAAACTTATTCCCATCATGTCTCCTCTTCCCTTCAGATCTCTGCATGATGGATTCTTCCCCATCACCCCAATCTCTGCTCTATCATCACTCGCTCTCAGCCACCTCCACTTACACTCAGTCTAAATCAGTGACCAGCTGCATGAATGCTTTGCACCATGAATAAACACAGCTGTACTTCTCCTTCCCTGGAAGGGAGCCCATGAGAGCAGGGACTTCTTTCCCTCGTTTCCCTGGCACCTAGTGCAGTTCCCGGGAAGTGAGTGACCTATTGACGTTTGATGGATGAATCAATGCTGCTCAGTAATGCTGGATCTGCATGTTTTTCAGGAGACACCAATAATAGGGATTTTTATGTAAGATTAGGACTTCTTCAGCTTGGAAACTATTTTTTTTTAAAATAAATAGTTTTGGCTCCTCGCTACCAGCTTATAAAATGGTAGTAGCACCATCTCCCTACAGAAGAACACAGCTCCTGTGAGGCAGCCTTTCCTACAGCACACCCTCTGCTGGGGAGTGTGCAGGAGGTAGCTGATCGATGCTTCTCTCTCATCGATGTTTCTAACTCTCTATCCCTCTCCCTTCCTCTCTGTAAAAAATCAATAAAATATGTTTTTAAAAAATTGTGGCTCAAATCATGTTTATAAGCCAAACCTGAGCCAAAGAGGCACCATTCTGTGATCCCACATTAAATACTATGGGAAGGTTACTTAAAAAGCAAAATGTTTAGTGGCCAGGAGTAGAGGACAAGGGCCCAAATACTTCTCCCAGAGTGACCTCGTTAAAACTGGAATCAGATGGTTTCATCTTCTTTTTTCCCCCCTAAAATACTACATCTGAAAGTTTAAGCCAGAATCCGTTAACTTCTTTTGTTGCTGCTTTGCAGCAGAGGGTGCAAACTCAATAGGAGAACGTCATAATCTACTTTTCCATTTGCACAAAACCTGTTTAGTTTCATTCCGATCTCCAGTGCCCGTCGGTGGCTTTCTGCAGTCTTCAGCTATTTGCAGTCCCCTAACTGACAGCTTCTGCTCTGACACATCACGCAGCGCGGGACTTACAGGCCGGCGCAGCTGATTGTGTCAGCATGTATTTGTGAAGACCATAAAGCACTGAAATGAGACACACCGCGCTCCCCAATAGGGGAGGCGATTTGTTTTTTTGGACGGCCTGGTATTTGTGACGTTCATTAGTGAGAGATGCAACAGGAAATAGGATTACACAAATGGGAGCCTCGTGTTCTCTTTGCTGTGCTCCTCAGCCCCCTGCCCGGAGATGCTGCTTCCAGCGTTGTATCTCCGTCTGGCCATGAGCACAACCTTCTCTTCCAGAGGAGGAAAAGGGTGTCCAGTCCCGTTCCCCCGCCCAACATTCCTCTCAGGTGGACCCAGTTCTTGGGGTACTCCTAAGACAGTGGGGACCCTGAATCAGATAAAGAGGTTTTCCTCGCCCACACCTGAGTAATGGGAATTTTGCAGAAGTAAATTTAAGCCATTGGATAGCTTAGTTTAAATTTTTGTTGTTGTTGCTTTCCCACTTCATTTTCCTCCCTGAAAGCTGTTATGACTGGTGGCTAGTTTGCAAGAGCGCATGATGAGTTAAGCATCAGCTGTCAATCACCATAGTTCTGTGCTCAGCGTGTCAGGCTCAGTCTTGGCAAATAATTAAGAATGTAAGACTTCCTGGTTTTAAACCCTGGCTTTAATCTAGCAGTGCGGCTTGGGCTAGTTAACCAACCCGTCCCTCAGTTTCCTCATATGTAAAATAGGAACAGTAATGCTGTCTCCTAGGGTTGTTGAAAGTAGGAAATGAGTTCATGAATGCCTGGTGCCTGGTACTCAGAACAGGGCTGCCACATATTAAACTCAATAGGTCTAGAAAATGCATGCATTCACCAGTCACTGAGAGTCAACACATGTATAAGCCTGGGGGTTGGGGTGTGGCTTAGTGCACATGGGAACATGGGCTGACGTGCGTTAAAACTGCTTCAGAAAGTCATACCATGTGACAACAGAACCAATTACACCACGCGAGGTGGTGTAATCATGTGCTAATCATTCGCTGAACATTGTTTAGGAGTTGCAACTCTTGGATTTAAATACGTAGACTATAGTCAATATGTAATATTTACTTATGTCGACAAAATTACTACAGTGTTTTTCTCCAATATATGGCTTATTCGCTAAAATTTGCTAAAAAATAACAATATAATCTGTTAATTAAATTATAAGCCACTGTAGATTAAAAGCATTTTAAAATTAGCAGGGTGTTAACTTTCACATATGACATATAAACCGGAAATGTTGTTCATTAAACCCAAAGTCCATTAAATCGAGGTCCGAAAAATCGAGGGTTTACTGTACCAATAAAGGTGTCATAAACTATCGAGGCCAGTGAAATCCTGGCTATCACTGACAACTTCAGCCCCTTACCTAGAAGGCCACAAATAGAAATATGGCCAGTTCAGTATTTCATCTGAAATTAATCCAAACCTTTTGAGATTCCATTTAGCACTTAAAGTAAAAAAACTGATAATTCTCAAGTAAAGAGCAGTGGCCGAGGAGTCAGCTGTCCTATGCTATATTGTTCTGGGCCATCAAGCATCGGAGGCCTGCAACAATCAATTGAGCTCTCTGGAACTCTGGTTCCTTCCTTAGGAAATGATGGAGGATCTAAGCAGGCCCTCCTATCTCTGAAATGTTATTCTAATTCAAAGATGTGGAACTGGTTATGTGAAGAGGAGCTCATGGAAACATTTGAAAGCACAATCCCTTCTTCCTCAGATTTGTTAGTAAGATGCCCAGAGGCCTGTTAGGATGTTCTGGGGTTCAGGCCCTGTGCATATGGAAGCATGGCCACCTCAGGGGGTGAAGATGTCTACGCCAGGATGGAAAGGAAGGCAGGTGAAAATAAACTCTTACCTTTTAACTTCTTTGGCATCACTTGCGATGAAAAATCCTAAAGTACCTTCTTGGATCTTAAGATGGTTTCCAGGATTAATTAATATACTGCTCAGTGAACAAAAACAAACAAAGAAGACACATCTGTCAGGTCATGTTCTGTGCAAAACCTTGAAGGCTACACGGCATTGTTAATTGTATAGGGGGCCCACTAGTCTAATGCTGTCCCCAACGATTTCATCTGGAGCTTGAGGTCCACTGTCCCACACACTTAACTGGATAACGCCATCATAAAGCTAGGCTGTTCAAGTCCTAGGTTGTCATACTCCCAGTTGCAGAAATCAAAGCAAATCTAGGCTTCAGGGCCAGGTTTTTATAATGGGGTTGCCATTATGGGCTTCTGGTTTGAAGCAAAATTCCCAATCATGTACCCCTTCGAAAATGCTGTTGATGGTCAACACTGAGTGTTATTAGTCTAATAAAGCTATTGCGTCACCGATTTTCAGTTAGATGACAGAGCATTAATGGGACCCCTATATGCATACAGAAACAGACATGTATACACACCACATACCACTGCAGGGAATGGTACAAGACACCCAATACCAATGCAGAAGCAAGCAGAACATCTGCATGACATGCTAAGGACATGGAAGTAGATTCCATGTGCGGTCTGTGTGGAAAGAACTGGGTCCACCAGAACAGTGAAAAAGAAAAATGTGAACAATCAGAAATACTTAATGATTCAGCCTGCTGTTTACAAAAAGGTAAGAGAGTCTTTCAATAAGGTGCATGTCTAGCACATCCTGATTGGGGCAAACTGTAATTAGAAAACAAATGCAAATTACCACAAAAAGACTTCCCCTTCCCCTGCAGGGAAGTATGAACCTAAATATACACTGTCCTATTTCAAAGTGGTATAAATAGATTAGCTGACCAAGTTGTGTTTGGACTGACAGAAGAGATAAATGCATCCTAATCTAATAAGTGGATGAAACAAACAAATTTAATTTTCTGCAGATCAAAAGCAGAATCCAGAACGCCATACACAGAGACTGAGATGAGACTCTGGGCTCAATGGATACGGAATTTAGAGACTCTAAATTCAGCAACAGATACAACGGAGGGAGTCTGATCTGAAAATCAGGTGTTCCATGTAATAGATGTTTGGAATCAGGCTAAAGGAAGTCCTAAACTGCCTAAAATGATCAAAATGGAGGATGGCAATTAACATGTAATCCTTTTCTGCTGGTAAAATCATTGCAGAAAAGTGCTGTGAGCAACAGGGCGATGTGCCTGTAGCAATACAGGAAGGACCCAGGTGAACTTTTGTTCTGTTGGGAGAACGGAGTAGATGGTTATTGCAAAATAACGGTTTGTGGTCACAAGAACATCCCCTATTACCCATAACAAGGCCTGACAGAAGGAAACCAATCCCGTGTCACTGATCTTATTAACACTAAATAATAGCAAGAGTCCACGAAGACCTGAGTGTTCTTCCCTGGAACCCCAGACAATAGTGAGGCAGCAGCGGGCCACACAGGGCAGCGCTGGAGAGGCCCCTCCCAATCACCCTCTACCAACTCTTCACAGTTGTTGCACACCCTCTGACTTTTCATGATCGCGAGGAGAAAGGACCCCAGCTGATACAGGCTAGCCAGGTTCCCGGTTAAACGCAACGTTTTAGACGGGCAGCATTCCGGATTGGCATACTTTCTTACCCCTGAACTGCTAGGCAGTTCTTCTATGCCCTAGCTCTGCAACCAGAAATTGGGTCCAAACTCCAGCATGGCCATTCAGTAGCTGTCTGACTTTGGGCAAGTTACAGGACATCTCGAGGACTCAATTTCCTCACCCACAAGATGGGCATGAGGATCATCATAGTCTCCAGTGACAATGCGCAGAAGGCTCTATGTCTACTGGTTATTGTTCCTTTTATTATTTATTCTTGAGGGGGAAAAAAGCCAAAAGGATATTCCATTCTCAATGGAATCATCAGCTTTTCCTTAGTTGGGCTCATGACATGTAACACATCCTGCCCATGACTTGGTGAAGTTACAGGGTGAAGCACTAACTGTACACTTTAGAATAATGGACAGGGCATAATGAAAAATTCCAGGTACTCTAAAATTCTGGACTCTAAAGGAGCTACTTCCTCAAAATTGGAAAATTCAACCTATTGACATGTATTCATTTAAGAGTGTTAAAAAGCTTCCCTGATGAAAAACAAACCCTATCATGATTTCAGCAACACAATTCAAAAGAGGAAATTTGAGAGGCATCAATGTCTTGGTGACATACATGCACAACACAGCCTCACACAGAACCTGCTTCCCCTTTTTTACATCACATGCTTCAGAAATTGCACTCCAATGGTCAACCCCACTATGCCATGGTGGTGATAGCAAGGTTCCTGCCAACGAAAAGTCTCTTTTCATTGCCTCTGTTCTCTAACAACTGGCCTACAGTAAGAATATGGGATTGTCACTCCACGGACGGCAGGTTGAGATCATTTATTTCAACCTTCCGCTGGCCCTGGTCAAGTCTGAGGGTGGAGAGCAGGGGTGGGCAAACTTTTTGACTCGAGGGCCACAGTGGGTTCTTAAACTGGACCGGAGGGCCGGAACAAAAGCATGGATGGAGTGTTTGTGTGAACTAATATAAATTCAAAGTAAACATCATTACATAAAAGGATACGGTCTTTTTTTTTTTTTAGTTTTATTCATTTCAAACGGCGGTCTGTAGTTTGCCCACGGCTAGTGAAGAGGAAAGATTCAGGCATGGAAGTAAGGCAGATCTGTGTTCAGATCTCAATGTTGCTGCTGCTGGTGGTTGAGTACTCAGGTGCACATGTCAGGCCTATGGCCTCAGATCCCGGCCTTGAGCATGTGCATGGTGCTAAGCCTCACTCTCCTCGTCTGCAAAATGGGCTGCGGAATCACTAGCTTATAGTGTTGCTAAGAAAATTAAAGCACATACTACGCGCCGAGTGACTGTTACACAGGAAATCCTTAATACACAGTCACGGTTAAGAATAGCAAGGTGATTACAGCACCTGAGAAGCAGAACATCTCTCAGCCTCACAGCTCCCCATTTTGTCCTTGGTGCTAAGAAACCACCTATGGACACTGAAAGACCTTTTCACTGACCATAGTATCTGAGAGACTTACTTCCTGTACAGTAGCTGTAGATGGGCTAATTTGGACTGGCTTTTGTCTACACAGTAGAGTAGCTCTCTGTACCTTAAACTTTGTGGCTGATTGTATAAGACACTGGAAGTACCTCCAAGGACATCACTGACCTGGTGACTTCAGAATGGCCTCTTGTTCTCTTCTGGTCAGGGCTGGAGGCTTGCAATCATTTCTACATGGTGCATGAAGCTGAAAGAATGAGCCCAGCTCTTGAAGGAAAGACATCTAGATACATAAAGAGGCTCTCTGGGCTGGATTGCACGCATGTTTAAGTGTTTGGTAGAGAAGCACGCTAGTCTGACCCAGGGACCACTGTATACACTACTCCCTGGGTAAGGGCACAGAGTTTCAAAGACTCTTTGAGGAAATATATTACTCTTTTTGATATTTCAGACAATAAGTCTTCTATACACATTCCAAATCTAGAAAGTTTGAAGTACCGATCCCCGTCTTCTTGAAAATATAAAAAGCTAAGCATCTGAAACAGAAATAACTCTTTTTTGTTCCTGGAAAGTGCCTACTATCCTTAGAATGTGTTGTTCACCTCCTAAAGGGAATATGTAAATCTTTCCAAAGATCTTTGATGTCTTAAAATAGCCAATGTTAAGTTTGTGCGTCCTGATGACGGCCAAAAGTCTCCCTCCCTGGGCATCACTTTAAATCAGTCTCTGGCTCCAATTCTGCCTAATCCACTCGCTTATCAAACAGTGATAAACTTCGAGATATGTCAAGTGAAGAATCAAGAAAATCTCTAAGAAAAAACTCCCTCTATCAATTAGCAGAATTCCAATAGGGACATATTCTTGGCGGGATGGACTTGCCCTCATTTCCAAGGACCCTATAAATTATCCCCTTCCTTCCATGCTTTGTTAATTTCCACTGAAAAGATTCAGTGATAGATGGAGGCCAAGGGTTGGTGTGGTCCCTTCCCCAAGGATTCTTATGCTTTTTCTTTTGCTCTCAGACTAGTTTTGAATGTAGACTTATTCTTCAGCTCCTCACTCATTATATAGGATAAATAGATATCTTTTGTAGGGAACTCATAGGTGCATAAAGGACTGAGAAGCAAGATCATATTTTATTTACTTTTAGAAATTAGTTTCTTATAGCAGCCAGCTTAGAGCCCTGCATGGAATAGGCACTTTGTGGAATGAGTGAAACACCTAAGTCATTGGTCTTAGTTCTAAAAGTGTTGCTTTCCCTCTCTACTAAGGAGAAAAGGAGTCACAGCTGATCTTTCAAAGGCCCACCTGAAGTTCCTACCAGTCAGGCCTATGGGAGGAACGATCACACTTCTGGGGGATGGCAAGTGAGCTAACAATATTCCAGAGACATAAAGCATAAATATGTAAATATACAAATATATAAACACCTAGGCACCCGGGGAATTGAAGCAATTGATTTCAATATTGAAAACACCACTCACTTAGATCTGAAATATGTTCTTAAATGTAAGACACGTTCTCCTGAAACTGTCTAGCAGGGCTCAGTCCACTGGGAAACATCACTTGCTGGGTGCCTTCAGGAGGGGAGGGAGTGCCAAGTCTCAAGCTGCAGTGCATTTCACTGTGTATCTCTTGCTGAACTTGGGTTAGGGTGAAGATTTGGGGTTAATAGGGCAAAATGATGTCTTCCCTTTCTCCACCATTTATGGATAACAACTAGGAAACATCTCGTTATTTCTCCTCCAATTATCATGAACTTTACTTGTTTGCTGATTTAAGAGACAACCCATTATTAGCAATTCAACTGAAAGAGATATTTTTAAAGGAAACTCTTCTCCATTACGGATAAATATGACAGGTGTAAATCTCTTTCCTCCCCACTCAATTTCTGGTAGGTGTAATGTACCATTCCCTGAGCAATTATAAAAATATCACGTTCATGAGAGCATACTTTGTATTTGGTAACACTGCAATTATATCTTAGTCTAGAAAGCTAATGGGACTTCATTACCTAGAACAAGAAAATAAGAACCATGTAGGACTTCAGTTCATGCCGGGCCCAGAGGGATCATGCCCCTGAAAGTGGCCTCTTTGACCACACAAGGTCATGTGCGATTGCTGTTGGGTGGGACTTTGTTTGAACCAACTGGTTCCCATCTCAGGGAGTACAGCTGCCTGGCAGTTTAGGGGCTGTGTTAGGGCACAGCCTCCAGAAACCCCAAATCTCAACTCTTGCTGCCTTTCTGGGACTTTTCATTTCTCTGGGTGTTAAAATATATGCTGTTGGAGTCCCACACAACTAGACACACACACATTCCACAGTGTGGGTTCCATGCTCAGCACACTGGAGCCCAGGGCACTTACACAGAGACAGTATCATAAAGATTGCTCCCAGTCGGCCAGACTCAAGTGACCTGCACTGTGGTCCACCAATGACATGTTTATCCTGATTCCATCCCAACAATTTTAGAAATGGCATTTTCAAATAGATTTTGCATGTAAGGAAAATAGTGGCCGAATGGGAGGGAGAATAAATAGTTCATTTGGCAAGGACAATGCTGGATATTTGGTCTGGGAACAACCCGAGTTGCTTTCTGGGACACTTTAGGCCAAGTCATGCCTACATCACAACATGCCTTCACCACATGATAAAAGGACTCCAAGGCCAAAGCCAACAGCACAGGTGCAACCACTGTGGCCCTTTGGCGATGCAAAGTGTTGCAGTAACTTCTCGCAGTTGGATCATGTCAATAATACCGAACTGACAGGAAGCCACCTCTATTTTCACACATCAACTCACAAAACCACAAAGAACCTGACTTCAGAAAGGGTTACACACACACACACACACACACACACACACACACACACTACAAAACAAACATGTGACAGTGATTACAACCACAGAGAAAAACAACTCTTTAGAAGGTGAATAAGTAGGCATCTCAACAGTATGTTTTCAACAACACGCCCTTAGATAGAGAACACATTGAAGAAGCTGCACTGGAAATATTCACCCAAAAAGGTAAAAAAACAAAAAAAGCTATTGATGAGGATTCGGTCATGCTTCATGCAACATATAACAGCAGCAAAACAGGTGAGGTCACACGGTGAACGTTGCAATACTTCATATTAAGAAATATGCCCAAATACAATAAGAAAAACAGAAGCCCCTGAGTTCATCTCAATAGACAGTACTCATCGGAGTACTGCCCAAGAAACACAATGCAAAATCTGATCATCTAAATAAGTTTAAGGAAAAAGAAGTGTAAGGGCTTGGTCTCTGTTTTGTGGATAAAAGGACATGAATTCTGCTCTACCAATTAGAAAGTGGACACAGGGAGGCGGGGTTCACTGGGAATGTGGATGTGGGATGCAGACAAATGGAAGCAGAGTCTGGTGGACACCACGACACATCAGGACAGGACAGAAACAGACATCGAGGGCTGGAGAGAAGTGTCCTCCTTTTCAACTTGAATAGCATTTGTTCCCATCATTGGTGCCATGATTGAAAACAGGATTGTGCTTTTTGGTTTTGCTTTTTTTTAAGGTTTCCTGCAAAGAAGTTAGTGCGTCATCCAAAAGAATCAACAAATCAAACAAGAAAAGCAATGTGCTACTTTCAATTTTTATGTCCCCTAGTTGGAGAGGGGTTTATATATAAATATACATATATAGTTATATATATAGATATATATCTATATATACTGACAAGGGAATGAGATTATATACACATATACACATATATATAATCTCTATCTTCCTGAATTCTTGACAAATAGTTAGTCCTGCGGTTAGAAGTGAAGATAGAGGGTGGAGGTTGGGAGGAAAGTTAACGAAGAGTGCATACCGCTTTCGGCTTCTGCAAAACGACAAGAAAAGAATTTAAAATCAAACAATTTGATAATAAATTGACACCAGAAGGAAAAGAAGGAATAAAACCTTTGTTTCAAATTATTTGAAGGGTACATGTGAAAACAAGGTTTTTCAGCCAAGCATGAGAACAGTATCATGGGGTGGAAGGACAAGGTCATTCAGGACAGACTAGGGCACTGGGGTGGGACAGAGGAGCAGGGCTCTCGGGATTTTAACACCTGGTCACTTCAAAAGTGTGAGAGGAAAGAAAATGGGAAATGTTTTAATGCAGGGAAAAAATCAACGTTATTATCTCAGGAAGGGTCCAGCACTGGATTCTCGGAGACATGGGTACTGTGTTTGATAAGCCCTGTGTTTTCTCACAGGCATGATCCACATTCCTTCAAACACACCTTTTTCCACAAGAACCAATGAGCTTTAGACTGAGACCAAGCCACATCTGAGGATTAAAGCTGGCAAAGGCACACAGAAAGCCAAAACAAAGCCAGACAAGTTCTTTTCTCCCTTTTGTTAAAAAAAAAAATCTAAAAACCTCTATCTGTAAATGTGGCTTTGTTGAAAACATCTCTGATTCGTGAATTAACTGGAGGGTCCATCAAAGGAAAGATTGGTCTTCGGGGAAAGCTCTGATTTTGTTTTCTTAGAGTGGGGGCAGGGCATCCCATGGGACCATTAGCAGCCTGTTTCTTTCCCTCCTTGGGACCAAAGAGCGGCAGGTAGAAGAGGACTGGTCAAGGTTCAGAGTACAGTCTCTTGCTAGGAAATGCTTCCAGAATGCTCAAGAAAGGCTATTCAGCATCACCCACATCAGGACACTTTGTTGAAAGATGCACAAATAAGAAAGAGAGAACACTGAATTGTACAAAGAATTACTGAGTTGGCAACACAAAGAATATCATTTGCAACCCTCCCTCCCCTCCCCGCCGCCAGGTACAGGTGAGCGTTGGCAACAACATGGACAAGCAGCAGTCCCAGGAACATCCATGTCATCAGTTGAACAGCGAATAGCCAGGACTTTCAGTGGTATTTTGCAAATAATATTCTTCACTTGCCAACAGGAAAAAGATGTGTCTACGTACATATGTGCTAACTGCCACAGCCATGTTCTACACGTGGCTCCCAAATCTACCGCTTTTTCTTCCTTTGGGTTGATTTGGATTTTCATAATAGCTGTACGTTTGATCAGATTGACGTGGAGCAATCTGATCTGGGGTTGAGGTAACAGAGAACATTGGATTGACTTGCTTACAATCCAGCGTTTTTTGTCATGGACACACAGACTGAACATTTGGAGGTCTGGCGTTATCGGGTCACTCATCCAAATGATGGAAATGCCTTAAACGATCATAGCAAGGAACCTTCTAGCCTGGCCCTGCACTCTCCGCGGTCATTCAGGTGTGTGTCCGAGGCTGTCTGCTCTACAGGAAGACTTACTGACTACAACTAGGAACAAGCCAGGATGTCATTTCAGAGGACAAAAGCCTGACCATGTCTCAATGAGTTACCTTTCTCCCAAAACAACTGGTAAAAATGGGGGAGACGGGTGGCAGAAATCATCTCTATTTTATCTGTAATGCATACAGTGTTCCATCCACTGAATTCCTTGTTAATGTGATGCCTCCTTCTTCCAGTGTGAACTCATCTATTGACTGGGGTGTTATCTGTTTCAGCCAGACCCAGTCCCTCATCAGTCTCATTTGCACGTAATTACGTGCAAAATAAATAAATAAAGAGGGCCCCTGCCTCTGCGCCTTGCTCCTCCGGCTAATTTACATGAAGCTGATATCCTGCCACCTGGATTTCGGTTGCACCGGGAGAAGCACATATGGTCCACAACAGGCTGCTTGTAATTCGGCTATCAAGAGAGCTCGTATCTCCCATCACGGCCCTGCCCCTGCCTGCTGGCAATGAGGTCGGCGTCCACCTTTGTGCTTTGTGCTCACAACAGTAAAAGGGGGTAAGAGGACAGTGTCTGACCCCACTTTTATGCAGAGAGCTGAAAGTGAACGCTGGAACCATCGGATGGAGGGCTGGTCTCCTCCCTTTCCCTGGAGGAACACTCTCAAGGCCCAGGGGGCTCCCGATGCCGGGCGGGTCTGGCATCGAACATGCCTGGTTGAACATGCCTGGAAATGTGTCTTAGGGTCTGAGAGGTGTTGCTTTAGGGTCCCAAGCAAGTAAATAAACCCCAAGACAGAGAAGTGGACCGAACGTTCCCAGGATGCATGCTCACCATCATCAAAGTGAGCTGACTGCAGAGTCGCAGCAAACTTACCGGCTCTCTCGGTTGGCGGACTTGTACTCAATGGCTATCATGAGGAGCTTGAGCTTCACAAAACACAGCCTGCAATGAGATGGAGACACCTCCCAGTCAGTGCTCCTGAAGGACCAGAGCCACACAGCCAGCACTGTTACAACCTTTTCATCTCCTAATCCCGTTGTTATCCAAGGGAGCCTCATTCTGCAGTCGCTGTGCCAAGTGGACGGGGCTGGGAGTGGCACCTCCCGCTTCCCCATTAAAGTTGATTTCTTACAAGCGATAAGGCACTGACTGTTCAAAGTGCAAATTGCACTCAGGTCTAGCTGTCTAGACACAGACCCAAGCAGGAATTGGTGTCTGGGGATCGGTGCTGGGCCAGATTCATTAGTTTCTCGGTTGGGTAGTAAAATGTTAACTGCAGGGGGAGGGAGGTTTTTGGAGCAGCTGGACCTGTTATTTGGATTCCATTTTAGTCTTTTGTATAAATGGCTTATATTGTTGTTCCGAGCAGACCCCTGTGCGCTCGGAATGATGGTAATAATCCTTAGCTTCCGCGTAACTGCCCGGCACATGACTGCGGCACCGTCACTCCTGGCTCCAGCCAAGCTATCCCACGTCATCTGCCCGCAGCTCTTGCCCGACGCTCAGGCTGCCTTGAGGCCAGCTTCTTCCTCCCTCGGTGCCTTCACTGATGCAGATCCTGCCCCCAGAGCATCTCCTCTCTCCTCACCCACCCTCCCATGCCACATAAAATCCTACCTTCCCTGTAGGTCTTCTGCGGCTATCGCTGCCCTCTGATTTCCTTTCTATTCTCAGAACTCCTCCAGCACCTTGTCTGCAACCACATTATCCAGCCCTTAGTCAACCTAACACTGGCTGTGCCTTCATGTATCTGAATTTTGTCTCCTCAACCAGCAGAAGTTATTTAAGAGATCTGAACTGGTTTGGAATTCCCCATAGTACTGCACATGGAACCGCCGATACAGACAAGCTCAATAAATGATTTCCACTTACTGGCGTTCAATTCTAAGAAAATAATAAATGGTTCTGTAAAATATTTTCTGCGTAAAGATGTTCAAGGCAGTAGTATTTACACAGAGCAAGAAGAATTGAAAGCAACCTACATATGCAGTAACAAGGCAAAAAGTATGATGCAATATGGAATACATTAGCATTCAAAATAACATTTAAAATATTTTATTGATTTTATCTTTAGAGAGAGAATAACGGAGAGGGACACACAGAGAGAAACACTGATGAGAGAAAGCATTGATCAGCTGCCTCCTACATGCCTCCTACATGCTTCCTACATGCCTCCTACTGGAGATTAAGCCTGAAACCTGAGCATGTGCCTGACAGGAAATTGAACCAGTAACTTTTCGGTGCATAGGACAATGCCCAACTAACTGAGCCATGCTGGCCAGGGCCAAGATGACATTTTGAAAACTATCTTAAGGTATAAGATCAATAAATATTATTATATGGATACAAATATGTAAACAACATGATACCATTTGGTGACAACGTATTTATATACTCAGAGAAATGAAAGCTCACATAAGTAAAAATTATTCTATATAATGGTGTTTCTACAATGGGCATTATCACTTATGTTCCAAATACTTTTGTATAATAAAACAATGGCTTACTGATAGGCGGGGAAGTGACTTGATGTTCATTTAGCTCCAGCACTGTAAGGGGGAGGAGATGCTGGGTCACAGGGCATGGCCTTTCCCGGAGCTCTCATTTAGTCCCTACAATATCCCTAAGAGGGAGAGATCAGCCTAGTTACTCAGACTTCTAGTGATATCTCTACTTTACAGGTGATGAAGCTAGGGCTCAAAAAGCTCATGTAACTTGCCAAGGTCCCCACCTACTACTTGACAGATACACAACATCTTCATCCCCAGAAAAATCTGTGTTGGCAGAGAGGGGCAATAAGCAAATATACAAGTGATTTAATAATAAATTCCCAGATGAAGACAAGGACTCTGCAGAAAATAAAACCCCTAAGCAAATGGAGAGTAACTGGAAGAGTGTGTTATCTGTAATGGTCCAGGAGGAACATTCTAGAGACGTGCCACTAGAGCACAGGGCCCTGGAGCATGATGGGAAGAAGCAGGCGATGAGAGGATCTGGGAAAGAGCATTCTAGGGAGTAGGAATAGCAAGTGCCAGGGCCCTGAGGCAGGAAGGAACTTGGGGTATCTGAGGACCAGTGATACAACTGTGATAACGACTGGGTCAGGACACCAGGCGGGAGCAAAATCAGAAGACTTTGTTGGCCACAGCAAGCAGTCTGCAGCTTATTCCAAGTGGGATTTCGGGAAGCCTTGGGTTGGTTTTAAACAGCAAGGTGCCATAATCAGATGTGCTGGACTTGCGGATGGGTTACCTACAGGTAAGGTACCGATAAAGGCCTCCTGCTCTCTGGTGGCAATAAGACCAATTGCTCATTCAAGCTTGTGAGGCCACGGTCCTCCATATGGCTTTCAACAGACAGTCAGGTTTCAAAGGGCCACTTCCAGGCAGGCGTGCCGGGGCTCTCGGCGATGTGCAGGTTTTCTGATTCCTGCCAGCAGTCTCTAATGTCTGCTGATTACACAGTTTGCTGAAACACCAGGCCAAGTACAGCTGGGAAAATGCTCTTCTTAATTTACGTCCCATAGAGCACCACCAACATGTACCTTTTATGGGGCTGTTACTTCTGGAGCTTAAGCTGTTTAAAATATCAGCTGGCTTATGCAGTATCTGTTGAACCAAATTACTAAGATTAAGTAACCATTTTCTAATGTAAATAGCAGCTAAATGCCAAAAGCTCAAAAAGTCTGATCTTGACTTAGCATGATCCTGAAGAGGCCAATTTGCTGATAGTCTGTGAGCAACGACCACTCTGATTTGGGACTCTGGCAGTTCATGGGATCAAAGATCCTTATTTAACCACCTGATCCTACAGCTGAGAACGGAAGAAATGGTTCCTAGTGATCATGAATAATATATTTAAACTACTATGATATCATTTACCAACTAGATATACGAAGAAAGGAGCTTTTTAATGCAGAAACGCTGTTAAAATCTATGTGGCCTTGTGCACATTCGTAGCCTAGCAGGGGTTTGCCAGCAGATCTCTGAGTCCTCTTTCATAACCCTGAAATCCCTATCTCAGGTAATTCTAGTCTACTTTATAGGAGCCTCTTTTTAAGAAGCTCTTTGACCCACGACAATCCTTTGCTCACTGGCCAAAGGGACAAAGAGGAGAGGGACAGAGTGATGTAACCAAAGTGATTACATACAAACAGTGCTACGACCACAGATGTTGAGGCCCTTTTGAGACTGCTGATTCTGGGCTCCTCATATAGATGACAAACTGAGGTCCAAAGACAGGAAGGCAACTTGCTCAAGGTCCAATGGCCTTTATATAGAAAAGCCGAAAGTGGAAATTAAGCAATTTGTTCAAGGTTAAACAACTTCTATATAGAAATGTCAAAAGTGAAAATCAAGTCTCAACGCAGAATGCTGCACAGATGCTTCTCATCAAAGCAGAGGACATGAAGGGGTGTCCAGAAGCCCAATGTGCAGACATGTTCTGTTTGGTCAGCACAGCATTTTTTGTCTTTTGTTTTTTTTAACTGGCATTAGATACCAACAGGTGATTTCATATAAAAACTAGCTTTTGGCTTTCCTGGACAAACAAGATATGACACACTGAAGCTACATTTCCTATGACTACAGTGATTGGAGCTCCAAAGCACTTGCCCCTTTGGATGAGATATATGCTCTCCAATGTGCCACAGTCTCCACCACTCCCTATTGTCTCAGACCTCACAGTTCACTCTTTGTTGCTCCCTGCCCCTTACAGGCATCGAAGATTTGAATCCCCGCTCTAAAAGCATCACCTGGATGTTTGCAAAATATCAACACTGGGTAACTTACTATTTACACTGCTCGCAGAATTATGTCCCCCTTGTTAAAAATCACATTTTTTCATTAGACACTGCCACAGAGAGTCGGCCAATGTCAGGGTACTAGGCTTAAGGCTGCAGCAGAGGTGCAGCCCCTGTTGGAGGTCCATTGGGGAAAAGCAGATCAAGGCTTTTTTACTAACAGGGGAATGGGTGTGGTTTGGTGTGGTAATCCTTGATTTATACATCTCTCTGCCCTCTAGACTGAGTTTTTTCTGTGTGAGACGCAAGCTTTATCTCCTTGGCATTTTGCAAAGTGCAAAGCATAAGCCTTCCATAAATGCCGATTAAATAAATGTATGAAAGAATGGGGAGTAGAACCTCACGAGGGGCTGGAATAACACAGAAGAGATCAAGTGGTAAACTGGGCAAGTCTCGTTTAGGCAGAGAAGGCTTGGGAGTGAGTGCAGAATCGTGAAAACAAGACGCTTCCTCACGTGTCTTGTTCTCTAAAAGCACACAGATCGGGATGGGGGCGTGCAGAAGGAGATCACAGCAGCAACGTGCTCTGGGAATCTAATTTTTGCTTCCAACCCAGGACGCCCTGATGTAAGCACAAATCTAAGATACGGACAACAATTTCTCCTTGAGACCCTCTACAAACTATCACAAGGGTTCGCTCCTAAGAATGTGCCTGCAGACTACCTGAAATTGATGTCCTGAGGTTAAATGTTTTACTTGCATCATTCGGCACCATTGTTTTCGGTAAAGCCAAATGGGCTTTGCTCATCCAATCCTTAGTCACTCCCTGGCTTTCCTCAAGCTCCCGTGTTTAAATGTATCCCGGATAGTGTGGTGAGAAAGGGGGCTGAGGGTGAGGGTGAGGCAGGGGTAGGAGAGAAGTAGGAAAGTTCTCCCAGAGTGGTAAGCAGGATGGAACCAGCCATAAGTTAGCAAGAATTTAACCCCTGACTTCAAAAATAAAATGTCTCCATGTGTCCAATGCAGGAAGTTGTCACTGGCTGCAAAAAGTAATTACAGGGGAATAGAAATGACTTTTTTTTTTTTAAGAAAAAATAAATGCCACTGACACAAAAGGTTTTAAACCAGCAATCTGCAATAAAACTGTTGTAATAACAAGTTAGATTGCTTTCTTGGTAATTATTAAGTAGAGGTCTGTCCA